CACCACACTAGAACTCTGGGGGGAGAAAGGTTGTTCTTATTAAGTGCTGTTGAGTAGGTTCTGATTCGTAGCCACTCTGTATAGAGTTTCCGAGGAATAGTTCGTGAGTTTGAGCTGCCAACCTTGTGATGCAAACGACCTTTCAGCCCAGTGCTTATCCTACAGACCCACACCAAGACTCAGAGGGAAGGGGAAGGATTTAAGAATTCAGGCAGAGACGAAGAAATGAACTCTTTTAAAAATGCAGTGTGGACTTCATGTAGGCCCTTTTTCTGGGCTTGTGGCTATGAAAGAAGGGTGGCCTGGGGGCCAGGACTTTGCTTCTATTTCTCATTCTCTGTAAACTAAGGGAGTGCTGTACCCCTGTCTAGTGCTGCCCCAGGTAACTGTGCCTGGGACGTTCTGTACCCAGACTTACACTGCCAACCACTTCTGACTTCGGTGGTATCAGTGGAGTGGACGTTTGACTGTTCTTGAGCAGTTCTGAGAGAAGCCTAGGGCATGTAGAAATCTGTCACTCGGTGGAGGCACGACCTGAGACGCCCACAGGCTGAAGTCATTGTGTGGGAGCCGTCACTTAGCCAGGAGGCAGGCTGACTAGCTGCCTAGTGCCAGCCTTTCACCGGCTGATGCTGGTCCTCTGGGAAGTGGAAGAACATTGGTGAGGGAGTGTGTGAAAAACAAAAAACAAAAGTCTCCAGAAAGAACATATGTGGCCAGGGTCGCTGAGGGAAGTGAAAGAAAGTGGAGAAGCTTAAGAAACCAGTGGTTCTGATTGAATTGAGTACAGAGAGGTATACCCAGCTCAAGAGTAGCTCTGCACACACACACGGTCACTGTACATGATACGGAAATAAGACAACATCTTTATGAAATGTCAGTAAGTATGCCAGCTTGCAGAAAAATTGTTCATTGGTCAAGAGAAAACTCACCAGCAGCTTGAGAAGGGACTCAGGAAAAAGGCAGGAGCCTGTATACAAACAGTTCTAGGAAGTGGCACAAGGCAAGGGCTCCAGCCTGGCCACTAACCCAGCCTTATTTTCAAGCAAGGGCTGGTTTGAAAGTTTTAAGATGTATTTTTCTTGGCGTAACGTGAAGTGAATAGGAGCCCTATTCAGCCGAGTCCTCCTAAGCTGAGGAAGCTCCTGGAGGAACTAAGGTACAATCACATGCTGTGTGCTGCAGGACACGTGGGCAGTGACGGCGTCTCAGGCCAGACAAAAGTCCAATGAAAGAGCTTGTCAGAGAATGAGGACAGACACCAGTCAAAGGAAGCCTCATAATACGGGAATGAATAACGATGACAGTTAGGCAGCATCCCGAGCATAACTAATGTCACTGAACTGTGCATGTGAGTATTAATTGAAATGTCAAATGTTTTGTTACATATATACTTACCATTAAAAAAGAATGCCTTAAAGAGCTGCTCACAAGGGGCAGTGAAAATGAAGACAATGGTGAAGAGGCGGAAAAGGCTAGCAGGGCCTTTCATAAAGTCAGTGAGCTGTGCCAACTCCCACAGTGCCAACTAACATCAGCAGGATGGAGCCTTTCTCAGCGATTCCAAGAAACACATGGCCGCTGGCACCATCCCACGACATGCCCAAGCAGTTGCAGGAGGAAAGAGAGACAGTTGTCCATTCATTATGTTTTTTGAAAAAAGAGCCCACCACTTTGAGAAATGTCTTCCCTAAAGGATAAGAACTTTGGGCTTTGTTCTGCAGTTATCTCTTTGATCCAATTTCTACTTCTTTGTTATCCTTGAAGACAATACTCAGATCTTTTTTATTACAAAGATTTAGACTTTTTTTTTTTTTTGTACTGCAGATCAATAAAGAAAGGCAAACTGAAAATGATCCCAATGGGTAAACTACACAAGTTTGAACATCTCACAAAACTCATGTATTTAAGGTTTGTGGTTCCAGACAGACTTCCTTCTGTTGCATTCCAGCCACAAGCTCATAGAACCTCTCCTTCCTTCTCATGAGGACCCACAGAACACTCATCCTAACATGGCTTGCTTCCCACTCTTCTCACTGAAGCCCAAGAAAGTCAATACTGAGGGTTACTTTCAGCATGGAAGCTGTTTTCACCTGAAGAACGCAGAAGTCTGGAGACAGAAAGGCTCGTTTGTTTCCAAGGGTTGACATAGTTGGGTCTTTGGTTCACATACATTCTTCATGCCTACATTGTAGAGGCACCTCCAGAATCTTGACTCTTTTTCAGTGTCAGCAAGATAAGCATAGACTTACTTATGCTTACTTCCTAATTTATAGTGAACAATTTCACATGTTTTTACCACAAAGATTCTACTTCTAGGCTGGCATCTGTCTGTCTCTCTGTCAACCCCACAGCGTCTGCCAGATGCACCAGAGAACCAAAGCCTTGTCAAATTTACAATCCTCAACAGGGCCAGAGTGCCCAGTAAGCAAGCACAGGCTGACTTTTACTTACTTCCTAATCTGTAGTGAACCAGTTTCACATGTTTCTCATCAGATCAAAGACCACAGCCTTCAGTATGGGTTGCACCTCAATGTAAAGAAGATAAAAATCCTCACAACTGAGCCAATAAATAACACCATGGTAAATGGTGAAAAGATTGAAGTTGTCTAAGACTTCATTTTGCTTGGACCTACAATCAACACTCTTGGAAGCAGCCATCAAGAAATCAGTGGTCTCACGTGTAGCAGCATTTGTGAGAATGTCACAGCGTTTTTGTCTGTTTTGCATATAGGGTCACTTTTGCATATAGGAGCCAACTTGACAACACCTAACAACAACAACATCAACAAGAGACATTACTTTCTAGCACTGAGATATGAAGGAAGTATCTTCCTCTTCTTTGGCTTTTAGGTATTTGCAGATAATTCATCAATGAGCTAATTGCTCCTGTCCCTAGGAAACACCTCTTTCTTAGAATGTGGGTCATGGGTCAGGGAGGATGGGCTCTGTAGGAGAGGAGGGTGAGACAGTGCCACAGGCAAGGGCAGATCGTCACTCAGAGTTTTATCCAGAAAATCTGGGAACCAGCTAATGAGCACCTCTGACCGTGGAGATTAATTCTGTGCAGCTGAGACAAGATGGAAATGAGTAGTGTGCATTCTTAATCTCTGTTTCCTGAAATAAGATAAGGGAGATGTTGGCTGTTGGCTATGTGTCTTCTTTTTTGAAGAGTTTTGGAAGAATAAACTGGGATTTGGCATTTTCAGCACCAAAGGCTTTGCTCAGAGGCAAGATCAGGGGCTAGGAAGTTAGGTGTTATGAGGGTAAAAAGGGCACAGAGAGCAAAGGGGCCAATGTTGGGGGCTGAGCTTGTAGGAAAACCACTTCAGAGAAGCTGAATGAAGTCCTACTGTTCTGAGGAACTTTTTATTTTTATTTTTTTTTTAACTTTTATTGTGAATTGAGTGAAGGTTTACAGAGAAGATCATCAGTTTTACATTCAACAAATCATATAGTTGGTTTCATCTCAATGACTGCAATCCCCTCCCTGCAACAACAGTTATCCTGCTTCCTCCATGTGGTTCCTGTTTCCATTCTACCCACCTTTCCATCCCTTCTCAACTTTATCCTTAGGTAAATGTTACCCTTTTGATCTTGAATGACTGACCATTCCATGGTGAGCATACCTCACCAGTGTCGTTGTCCCCTCTATATACCAGCTATCTACGACTTGGCTGAAAATTGAGCCATGAGGGTGAATTCTTTTCCAGACCTGAAGGGTGGTTGAGGACTATAGTCTCAAATTCCTCCAATCTCTTTCTGATCAGTAAGTTTGTTTTTGTGTTGTTTTATAATAATTTTGAGTTTTGTTCCATGTTTTCTGCCGCTCTATCACGGATCCTCTACTGTGATCCCATTCAGGGCAGTTGGTAGTGGTTGCACCATCTAGTTCTTCTAGTCTCAGAGATGTGGAGACTAGTGTTCACATGTTTCAGTTGTCCGTTGGACTGATTAATTCCAGATCTCTTCAATTCTCATCACTCTTCTTGCTTCTGCATATGGAGAAACCAATAGCTGCACTCTATATAGCTGCTCATGAGCTTTTAATATCCCCGATGCTACTCATCAGAGTAGGATCTAGAATATTGTCTTTGTGGACTATGGTATGCTAATTGACAGTAGTGTTCCCTGAAACAATGGTCTTGAGCCTCCAGGCCCAGTTATTCATTGTCTGAAGATGTTTGTTAATATCTAAAAAGTTTTCATTCTTTTGCCCACTGTATGCTCTAGTTTGCAGAAAGGGTAAATACCCATGTAAAAATATCCTCTTACAAACTCTTACATATTTGTGGGATATATATATATATATATATATATATATATATATATACGCATATACATATATATGTAGTCCTGCTGTAGTGCAGCAGGATAATGCACTGGATGCAAGATCAATATGAACCGTAAGGTCGGTGATTCCAACCTTCCAGCCACTCCTTGGAAACCCTATATAGAGTTGCTGTAGGTCAGAACTGACTCGACAGCACTTAGCAAAAACAAACTCATGTATATATATGCGTATATATACATACATACATATAGCTCACTCTTCCTCTAATACCCATTCAGCCTGTGTTTCTGTCCATATGTACAAGCAGAACACTGCCGTTCCAAGGTTGTGTATGTGTCACTGTTTACCTCTGCATACCTCCCTGTGTCTTCACCTGCATTCATCATTCTTCTGCCAGTCTCCCTCTTCTTGTATATTGCCCTCCCCATCACCCAAGTTAACATGTTTCTGCTCCTGAGGACCTCTTTTAAAAAATCATAAACTTTATTTTTCAGAGACGTTTTAGGCTTACAGAAAACTTAGAAAGTGCAGGAGTCCCTCTATGTGTATTGGTTGGTGTGGTACTTTTGATATAATTGATGAACCAATATTGATATGTTGCTATTAGCTAAAATCTACAGACAGCTGTAGGGTTTGCTTTGTGTTGTATGGTTTCACGGGTTTGGATACCTTTTCTGATGACCTTTTGTTAAAATTATTTCCTCAGGTAGCCACAGCTGGTGTATCGATAGTGCTGTTTGATGTGATCCTGACCAATGCAACTGTGGGTTGGTAAGTATTTTGCATAGAAAGAAGAAATGCAAATTAGTTGTTTGGGTTTCATCATAAGTTTGATGAACATTTTTTTCTCCAATTTTGTTCTTAGAATTTTTACTCTCAGATATTGAAGAAAGGGAGTATATATAAGGTATATGTTTCCATTCAAATGTAAGTCCCAGATTAGTGAAGCCTCCTTTAAAAAAAAGTTTTTATTGAAAAAAAGTGATATATCATAAATATACAACTTGATTTTCACAAACTAACACACCATACTCTAAGCAGCAGCCAGATTGAGAAATGGCCTTCTCAGCCCTCCTTGCAACCACTAACCTACCAGGAATAGCCGCTGTTGGTGAAGCCTCTTTCTTCTGTAGCTGTGTTTGAGTTTCTTTATGATCCTTCAATTTAGTTTCTCTTGGATAAGCTCCACATGATCCTTGCTTAGAATGTGGCCATCTATTGTATTAAAGACAGCAGATATTAGAGAGCTGTGGGAAGTGAGCCATTGGGGTTCCTGGGAGAATAACACATGCAAAGGCCCTGAGGTGGGAATATATTTGGTCTGCTCTAGGACCAGTGTGCCCGAAGCACAGGAGTGAGAGGGAGAGGGTAGGACACAAGACTTAAGGGGAGCCAGTGGCAGAATTTAAAGGATTTACCCTAGTGAGTTGAGGAGCTTTACCTCAGTTCACTCATGTATGACAACGCGAAACTGGGACAGAATTTGTAAGATGTGGCTGTGCAGGAACAAAAACCAGAATGGGAAAAATTACAGGTTAACACTCTGCTAGAAACTTAATCTCCCTCTTAGGAAATAAAGGGCAGCATGTGAATTGTATGGCAACCAAATCTCTGGGCTGGAACAGTTGAAAGCAGCAGTGCCCTGCTCAAAGATGGTGGCCGGCTGTGCTGTGCTGTGCTGAGATAAGCGTGTCTCTCTCCACAGTGCTGGCAATAATCCAGGCTCCTGGAAAGGCTCACCACACCCTTTCCTAGTCTCCCATTCTAGAATTCAAACTGTCATTTTCATGAATCCACAGTTCACCAATTTGGGGCTGACCTAATTTAGACGGAACTAGTTTGAAGCCCTGGTTTTGAATAGAGACACACAGCCTTCTGTCTTCTGTGAGGAGAACAGGCTATAGGGGTGGGAAGGAAGCAGAAAGGGCTGTGGCCCTGGTGAGGGCAATGGTGGTTAAGACCAGGTGGAAGCAATGGAGGCAGTCAAAAGGTGTCTGGATGCCTGAAATATATACTGAGGGGTCAGCCACTAGGATTTGAAAGAGAAACCAAGGGGTGTCAACCATGATGCTCAGATTTTTGTGCCTGGACAATCAAAAAAATGAGGAGATGAGGAGAGAAGCATGTGTGAGGAGCAGGGATTTTTTTTTTTTTTTTGCTTTATTTATTTATTTTAAATGTTTTATTGTGAATTATATGATAGTTTACATGGGAGAACATTAGTTTTACATTCATTCTATC